CTACTGCAAATTGTTACGCAGTCATTGCTTTCACACGACATTTTTCTGGTGCGAAAACGTCTATGCGGAATTAGTGCTTCACGAGAAAACTTTCCCGTCAAGAACTTACACTCGCCATCGTCTTTACTGCAAAAGTTTTGAAGCCATTCTTTATACACGGCACTATTTCTGCTGCAAAGATTTAAACACGACATTACTGTTACAGCAGACTTGTGGTCAAGTATTTGCTGTAGACCTAATAGCTGCTATGTGTTTTGCATGCCAAGTTTTGTCGTGTAGTATCGATGTCGTTCTAAGTCTTGGCAGTAGAGTTAATGTCGCGTCTGAGTAAAATCTGCATGAGTTTTGCAGCCGAAGTTATGTCGCGTATATCTGATCAGTTTTGCCATGCATCAACGTCGTGACACTCCTGCCGGTAGGACTTCTTGCCGAAGCGCCGATGTCGTGACACCATTTCGTATGTAAACAAAAGACAATGGAAACGTCTGCTGCAAAACACAAATCTATCTCGGTGCCGTAAAAAGCATCCCAGATTGCCTAAGTGTCACACAAATTCAGGACGGGCTAATTATGCGACAACGAGTCATGCATACGTTGGTGTTCACCAAGCTTCGATGCGGGATTTCGCAGGTAAATATTGTTTAACTACGTTTGCAATGCATTTAATCGTTGTGCTTCTGCGTGGGAAAGCTTAGAATATATATTGCCGAAAAGGTGTTGATGAAATTAAAGGTTCTGGCTCTAAGTTAAGTACATTGGACCACTTCATGCTTCACGTTTTTAACGTCACTTGTTCTTTCTACCCCGTCATGTGTAACTTTGCGTTTACGTGCCTCTGGTAGTTCCAGATATTGAACTCCAAAATAAAGTAAACGTCAGAAAGCTGCTGCTTTCTTCCTACAAGGAGCTCCCATTTACAAAGCGCTAATCCCAACCCTCGCCCGCCTTTCGAACAGACGCGAATTATCATGTATGCGTCAAAAACATAAATATACATAATTGTCTTGAATTAACCCGAAAAGCGCGACTCTTTGAAAGCTGTCCTGACTCCAACATTTCCACGCTGTGCTGAAAGGCGCGCACCATTTATTGATGTCATTGGCTTAGCACTGAGAGGAAAAGACAGTGAGACCAGGTTGTCTGACTATCTGTGAATTGCACATTTGATGTAGGAAGAAAGTTCGGTATTATGGATTTTAAGTTCCTCTGTTAACGATATCAAACAATCGTAGGTGACTACGTCAAAGCTCGCCTTTTCCATTTGTGCTCCTTGGATTCCCACCCAGCTGGTCGAGCAAGACCATCGCCTTTGATCTCTGGAATTGAGCACGGCGCGTACGACATTCACCGCCCTGACCAGGCCCTACTGAAACCCCAAGGAAACTGGTGACACGTGATAACGTGCACAGTCTTCTCAATGTGTACTGCCCCACGGCGTGTTAGGTGCTCTGCGTAGTCCCTGATATGGTAAGGATCAGTGGTCTCGTCTTGCCTACTCTAGCATCATCAAATGGCGGTTATCATTGCCGCCATTGGCTTTTTGGCGCTGCCCCTCCCCTCTCGCCTGTGGCTCGACGGCTTTGAGCCGCTGTTTCCCAGCCTCCGGTGGCGGAGTCGACGGGTTCAGTTCTCATCGGCGCTCGTTATTTGTCTGTGGCTGGGATGGCCTGCAGTCTGCGACTGCGGACGCTCAAGATCAGATAAGGTCAGGAGGTAGGACGAGAGACGTGTCTAAATGTGCCGTAGGACTGGAATTTCGTGATGGGATGGTGGGTCAGGGCTCACACAACAAACAAGGTTTGGTGTTATTTCGGATCCCAGAAAACCATGCAATCAAAATGTTCCGACTACAATTGCAAAATGATAAAGTAATCCTACTGAAAATGTGATACATGAGCGGCATGCCCATTACTCGCATGACGTACTCGTTGAAACATGCTCGATATACACAAATATGCCGGTAGGCACGGCGCGTCTTTCTCTTCATATCCTCAGCTACCGTGGTTGTCAAGCAATGCGCAAATGTACGAATATTTTGTTCATAATTTGCATTGATGGTTGACTGTTAACCTGACCATGGAGTCATGGAACACTGTGCCGGGAACAGCCCGCCTTGCCGTGATGTCCCCAGTGACCCGTCTTTGGCGGTCTCCACGCTAAGCTGCTGCCATCCCGCCAGACAATATCCACGAGACATCGTTTCTTGTCGCATGACGTCAGCTATTTATGAAGCCTCCTACCGGGTATGTCTGCTCTCGAACAGCTTTTCATGTTAAAGCGTCGGTCGTAACATGCCCCGCATATGATGAGTTTTCATAGCTGTCACTGCCTGCTGATTTTGCTTTGTTGGGCGCATGCTCTTGATTCCGACACATGGCCATAACTGTCAAGTGAGGTTCACGACCTAGGCAATCACGGTCTGGAATGCTGGCACCGCGCTGGCCCTGTCATCAGTGAATGATGACCCCGAGCGAGCACCATCATCTGACCCTAGCGTCTCCGCTTGTCCACATGGTACAACAACCGGCAAAGAAACGAAATGAAACTTCTTGCTCGTCTTTTGCCGTCGAATTTCATGCATTTTAGCCCCGTGGTTGTAGACGAAGAATATATATCTAGAACTGGATGAGCAAGACCTGATATGCATGGTAGCTAACAGCCAAATCCAAAGAATACCAATGCTGGTTTCTAGTTTATTAAAGCAATTGTGTTCTGTGAATAGTATCTGGTTTACGAAACTTATTATTTGTGTTCGTATAAGTGATATAGCAAGATTTATTCGCTGAAAATAGATAGATATCTTGGAAAATATTGCATTCTTTATGCCGACTAGTTAAAGAGAGTGCTCGGCACTTGTGTGGGAGCTGTATTGAAGGCCGTTGTACTGATGGCCATTTTGAAGGCCATTGTATCGATAGCCATTTGGAAGAACATTCGGTGCAATCACAGCCTCGCCTTTCTTAAGCCCTAAACCCTCTAATTTCTGGGCTGGACGACCGCGAATTTGTGCATGTTATTTAGTGGTGACTATTTCAAGGTCACCCAGGCTTGCATAACGCCATAAAAACGTCACTCAAATACAGCCATCCCACTATCTATGCGGCGTTCATGGTTAAGACAAATATGATTCTCAAGTTATTCGTTCGGGCGTACGTGAGTGATTTCTGGAACCAGAGGTCTTTACTGCCCCTTAAACAATGTGATGCATTCAGTACTAGCTTCAGACACCGATCACGTTCTGTGCCACATAATTCAGGAAGTTGGTAGTCGTACTAGTTATTACGGAAATAAGACTTGTGACCGAATAACCAAGAATTGACTCCTGGTGTCGGGTTTCGGAAACAGCAAGAGCCCAGGAGCCGGCCTGATAATTAGCCGACGTGTCCATTAGGAACCAGGATACAGCCTGATATTAAGCCGAAAAATCAAGCAAGAACCAGAATCCAGTCTCATTGTTAGTCAAGAGACCCAGCAAGAACTATGATCTAGCCCGACAACAAGCCAAACGATCCAGCAAGAACCAAGATACTCTCTGACACAGATCCAACAAATCCACTGAGAACCAAGACCCAGCTTGGCATTATGCCAAAAGATCCAGCAAGAATCAAGATCCAATCTGACATTATGTCAAGGGATTTAGGAAGAACCAAGATCCAGCCTGAAACATGTGGAGATCCAGCAAGGCCCAAGAAACCGCTGAGGATTAAGCCGACATCCAGCAGGAGCAAATCTTTAGTCTCAAGTGGTGCCAATGTAAGCAGCAAGAACCATAATTTTACCTGAGACCCCTGGCAGCCCTGAGTTTAGAGGCCGAGTAGAGAAAATAGATAAATTTATTCCCACTTTTTGTTTTAGGTGTGGGAGGACTAAGGTCACCCAACAACATGAAACTACACCGGACACCCTGGTGCTCCTTAAAATTGATAGAAATACACGGAAACAATGTGCATTAAGCATTTCAGAAAGCTTTCCAAATCTCAGTTGTGTGATGTATCTGTGCCACAACGAGATCTTGCAAACCTTTGGCACACTTCGCAGAAGTATAGAAAATGTAGTCGTGTAAATTTAATTATTTCATTTGGTAGATGCATGTAGACTTGTCTATATAACTCAAACATCCACTTTTTGCACTTGCAACATAAGCTTTCGTCCAAGGCTGGTTAGAGAAATGTGTGCAGTCATGGAAAATTGGCGCTTTGCCTCAATAACCCCGGATTCACTGAAATCATGTTTGTTTCCCCACCTTGCTCCTGCCAACAAGTCCTTAGCAGCCACAGACACAAACGCAGGTGACCGCAAGCTTCCACGCCATCGTCTTAGCGACAAGATCAGAGAGCTCGTGCCATAACACATGAAATGACGGTGGCATCTGACTCATTTTGAACTAATCGCTTCCGCCATACGTTGTGTTTATGGCCGTTTTGGCCAAAGTAATGTAAAAAATTAGATATACCTTCTAAGGTCCCTGACCTATGACAGGTCAAAATCAGGTCGTGACTGTCGGCGAATGCAGTGTCTATGGAATCGTTCAATGCGATGCGACAATGAAGGGTAAGGCGAAGCCATACGTCTCTGAGATAGTTTATGAGACAGTAGACCAACTGAATTTATGGTCGCAACAAATTCCCTTTATCTGGGTTCAGGTTTGAAAGTCAGACAGAGCTCTAAACCAACTTGCTTTTTACTCGCGAGCTTGCTGAATGGGCCGGTTTCTGGCGCTCATTTCGAACGTTAACATTTTTTTTTACATCGATTTCGAACGTTAATTGACAACGGGGAGAGCAACTGACATTTTCCATTGATATATTTAAGGTCAGAGTAGGTTACTGACCTGAAATGATCCCGGTCGACGTTTTGCTTTTAGGAACATACCGACTAGCATGATCATTGACGCTTATTCAAATTTAAAAATCATGACAATCTCGTAGGGTTTTGGCTGCCACGAACTTCTAGAGGTCAAAACGCGCGTCTTGTCTGACCTCCCTGACCTCACCCTGCAGGTCTGTCGACTGTGGCCGACCTGTACCCGAACGAACGCGAGCGGTCGCGCGTGATGGGCCGCGTTATGGGCGCCATGGCCGTCGGCGTGCTCATCGGATACCCGTTTGGCGGACTCAGCTACGACCTGATGGGCAAGTCGCCGCCGTTCTGGCTGCTGGCCGCCCTGCTGACCGCCATGTTCGGTGAGGTGCCCGTCGTGCCGATCGCCGCGTGCCATATGCAGTAGTTTGACTCAGTAGTAATAGTAGTAGTGGTAGACGTAGTAGTACAGCATTAGAAGTAGTAGACTCCTCGCCTAGCGGGATATCGCAATGCCCCTCTTGCGATCGCGCCGGTCATCCGCTCGCAGGGTTTGGTGCAGCATGTCTGGTGATCAGCTGAGCGGGCCATCCCTCCGTGTGCAGTTACGGGCAGCCCTCCTGCTCAGTGTCTTCGGGAAAGGAACGTTAAGACAGCGCTCTGGTATAACGTGCGCTGTTGGCTGGTGGTAAATTCCCACAATGACAGGATCTTAAAGCCGCACCGACGGCGTGGTGTGTAAGTTCTAAGCTGCGACATGGATATCGCTATGTGACACGTAATATGCATTTGCGTCCTTCAGCAGCTTCCGTGTACGCTGGGCTTTAAGGGGATATCTAGCATTCGCTGCACTTGTTGTGCATAATTAGTCATACGGTTCCGATTTGATCGGTAATACCAATTTGCTCTACATCCTTCCGAAAAGCGGTTAGCACGGGTGGCTCAAAAATGTGACCGACGACAAAGCCAACGAGCAGCCGTTCGATATGATGGGTACATCTTGGTAACCAGGGGTCGGACCGGAGCGAAAATGTAGTCAAGCAAAGACATTGACACTCTCAGGGAGGCAATGGAATGGGGCACCGTGTGGTCCCAGATGTGCAGGAGCACGCGCCTCATGTCACGTTTACAGAAGCGGCCAAAACATTTTGCCCGGGTTTTAGGATTTTTTGCAGTTTGTATCATTGCACAGCTGCCGAAGCAGATAGAAGTACAAATTCAAGCTCAAATTGTTGACTAACGTGCCGTCTGCAATTCACGCCCTCAACTCGCGCTTGTACGACGTATGATTGCGCTGAGAAACGTCGCGCAAGCTGGGAATGTCGATTTTTCGAAAACGACGCCAGATACAACACGTCGCCGTCGAAACTTAACCAGGAACGTGGCAAAATAAGCATTACCGCATGCACCAATTCATTGCCTGCCTTTGCCACCCATACATTTATTATTCGGTGCGCATTCCTGGACATACATCAACTTGACCTAAAATGTGTCAATTCCACAGTTTCGCGTCGTCAAAATGACACCGGCTCATTGCCCAGTCACTGGCGGTGAGTATATGAAAGGGAATTTTTCACATTTGAAGATCAATGTAAAAACTGCTCTAGACAGAGCGCTTCTCTGTTGAGTAAATGTGCCTCTCAATGCGTCATGGTTTGATTACGTCATATGACTGGATTTGAATGACATTTTTATGACGCCATGAGGGCCAACATGACTTAACAATATTCTCCCCGATATAACTTTCCCATTTGTGCCAGCGTGTAGCTTAGAAACTAGAAAGAGACTTAGGTCCTAAGAAGGGCAGGGTTGTGAACAGCACGGAAAGATCTTCAAGATGGCTTTTTGGGTTCAAACTCCCATATAAATGTGGAACACTCCCGTTAAGTAAAACAATTTAAATCGCACGCACTGGATGATGCCGGCGTACCGCAACCGTCGTTAATCACTTAATTAATGTAGTGGTGAATCAAATGAGCCATGAATTCATTCCATAAGCCGAGAAAGGTGAGTGATAGTAACGATCTAATGCATTACTCAAACTAATTGCTTTGAGAAATGTCAGAGTAACCAAATATATCGAGCAAAGAATAATTTGCGACGAGTGCGATAAGAACACCTTACAAATGCAGCAAGTTTCAGCAAGGCTCACCGCTGCGGCAAAACAGCACTCCCATGTGGTTCGCGAGGGCGTGTTTTAGAGCCATCATAGAGTCTGATAACACGAAAGCAGTGCAGCAGCACAAACAGGTGGCGGTGGCGACATGAGAGAGATCTTACATTCGCAGTGATAACAAGTGTGGGTTTCTTGCGCTTTACGAATGCGTAATAACGCTCAAACCGCAGTAGATATTCGTAAAGCACGATTCGAAAGTTGACAATCGCGGATTTTGTCTTAGTAAGCAGAGCGTGAGCTCATTATTGAAGAATGTTTCAAATGATATTAATCATCATTTGTTTGTGCCGCTTTGTTGTGCCCCATCAGCTTTGTCACATGGCTAGGTGGCACGAAACCGGAAAGCGCTATGGCAACGTTTTTGTCAGGTTGAAGTAAATATCATTCTCTGTGGGCTATTCAGTGGGCTGTGACCCACCGATTTCTTTCAGGGTTGCAAGGGATTCAGCCCATGGTGCCGCATGAAAAATGGCTTATCGGTTAAATCCGCTTCCCACGACCTACATACATACCTGGTAGTCGGCCCATTACACCCGGTTTCAGTCAGGCGTCCCTGCAGCTAGGGGTCGGGTCGGCCAGGAAGTCCCACGAATGGTGCTTAATGCACCCCGAAATACTGCAAACACGAATCATCCATGGGAACTCAGTCGCTTAGCAAAGCAAGCCGCAAGCACCCGCCTACAATAGTTCCAGGCCCCAGAGTTGTCGCTCAATCGCACTAATTATCTCCCATCACAATTTTTGATACGATCCATACCATATACTGTACTGACAAAGCAAAAAAGACAAGGCAGATAACTGAACATATTCACTCAATTTTAAACCTTTTTTCAAGTATGCGACAATGGCAAGAGCACATCATGTGATATTTTGAATCTCCATATTCATGTTGCAGAATGTTGGCCTTTCTTAACAATTTCAGGTAAACCCCTCTAGCTTTCCCATGCAGAGTTCAACAAAAACACTGGGCAAAAATATCATGAAATATTTTAATGACTTGTGTAAAACACAAGGCATACAAAAAGCGTGTGTTTACTTGCTGCTTGAAGATCATCAACAATTTGTGTTGATGTTGAATGACAACCCCCGACTTCTGCCTTTAACAAACCACTGAAACATGTGCCGATATTGTGCAATGTAATTAAAATATTTGATTGAACCAGCCATAAAGCGTTGAGTGGAAGATTGTAAACATCATGGTAAACGTCCTTCATAATTTCCAGCCTCCATAATTTGCTCAAGTGCATTTATCAACCAGTCCAACTTTTGTACATTCAGCATATTCACCTTTGCGCACAAAGAGATGAAGTAGCAGCATTACTGCACAAAATTCAATACAGTAAACCATTTTTGGGGGTTTGCTCTGATGGCAAAAGCACAACAAAACTTTTTTTTGAAATCCTTGACTCATGCTTGACAATATCAGCTGCTCATCACCTCAGCAACACCTCTCCGGTTTTCCACTTGCACAGTTTTTACAAAAAACATGGCATAGAAGTGGGCTTTTCATATCTATTGGTTCAAATGAAACACAACAGGTAAAAAAGCATTCCTTCACTGCGCATATGCCACCAATGACGCATATCAGTAAACAATCACAACTTCTGAATTAGCGTCTTTTGGGCAGATGAACCGACGCGAACTGCACTGTCATCATTATTACCAGATATGTAATATTTCAGGAACGCAATCCACCATATGTTGCAAAGGGCTATTCTAAGACATTGGAAGCTTTCATCCGCAATTTACACGTGTTGAGGAAAATCTAACAATCATTCAAATCTACAATGATCTTCACAGTGAGCTTCACGCTACGCGTCCTCTATGCACGGCATGACATATGGGAATGCTAAAAGAAGAAAGAAGTTCATGCGTGGTCTGAAATGTTGAGCACGTAAATTGGACTCGAAAATAACTAAAATTCAGCTGCTATTAATACACTGTTAGTGATGCAGCTCCGTTCCCCAGTGCTATTATATTAATGGCGCATCCTTAGCGTTCACCAGACCATGCTTTTGAAATATGTTTCAAAGATCGGACACTTCTGTTAAACTTCTACCGGGATATCAGCTGACGCATATGCCGCCTTGGTATGCTCAAATAGATGCAGCACCGAACAGGCCAGCGACGGCGGCGGTCACGTTGGCTCCGGTCGTTTAATGGCGGTTGCGTTTATAGAAAAATTGGAGATGGAAAACACTGTCACAGGGTAGGGGGAAGGGGTGGGCTGTCACGTAACAGCATGCCAGATTGTTACATAACCGCACTGCTTGGTAGGAGTGCCAATGTCAAAGCAAACTCTGCAAGTCGTGGCTTAAGCGGCTCGGTGCTGGTGCGTGGAGGTCTGGCCCGGTTATTCCCAGTGCTGGGGCATCAAAGCCCAACCCGGTTAGTTACGGCCCGGTCTAGTGCATGGAGGCCCGGCGGAGTTGTTCTCAGTGCTGGTGCACCGGGGGCCGGACCGGTTAGTCACGATATTGGGAGGGACTCGCCTTTGGAATCAATAATCACGCTGCAATGTAGTTGGCAGCAAAGATACGCGATTTCTTCACAAATTGTGCCGTGAAAGGAAATAATTCAACAGATTGAAAGAAATATGCACAGCAAACTGATTCAGTTGTAGTCAGATGTAGTCTTCGTACCACTTTGCAACAGCACCCAGTTTACCTCTCCGATTTAGTGGGGAAGCGTAAATTATCCCAAATGCAAGGACCTGAACAACACGGATGGTAACAGGCCCAGATCTGGGGGAACTGGCGCTCCAGAGGCAGATGCCGCTTGATGACATTTGATGATTTGATGAATGACATTTGATGGATGGTATCGACAAAAAACGTGAGCCGCATTATGTGGGTCGCCTCGCGTATGCGAGCGCAAAAGATATACACACTGTTCGTGGGGTATTTGAAACCAGTGCTGTTAGATCTAAGAAGCCGGAACAGATCAAGGCGTGGCACCAGTTGCATGATGTAGTGGAATGAAGAGGTTTCAAATCATTAAGCTGTCATAAAACTCCCCGACTCATAGGCGCGCCAGTGATAAACAGGGAAGCGGAAAAAGTCCTTTATTGAAGGAAGTGCTCCACATTTCTATGTGGTTTTGAATTAGAACAGCCATCTTGCAAACCTTGCGGTGCAGTCCACAACCCTGCCCTTCTTAAGACCTAAACCACTCTAGTTTCTGAGCTACACGCTCGCAAAAATGGAGAATATTTCGGGGGAGTACTTCGAGGTGATTTCGACATTCGTGACGTCAGAAAAGCGTCATTAAAATTCTGCTATTCCATAAGTCATGCGACGATAAAAGCTAAGAAAAATCCAATGGTCGGATCGTTTTTATCTTGCGTTTGCTAGCACGATTTCCACGTACAGCGGCCGCCAATTGGCCGTCAATTAATGTCACGCAAGGTACGATGGCCTAATCAAACAATAACGTTCCGGGGAGCAAATTTACTGAGCAGACAAAGCGTGCTGTCAAGAGCAGTCTTTTCTTTTGCAAGGGGGACCAATAGTAATCAATGAGTTTGTTTCATCATATTTGATGTTTGCTTCAATATCTTCAAATGTGAAACTTTCCGTTTAAATCCCTGCTAAGTGCGACACACTGTGAAAGCGAGAGATTTGGGATCATAAACCTGACACGGATGTAAATCCCAGCTTGAATCCGTCCTTTAGGAAACTTGCGTACGACAGCGCCTCGGAAAGTCAGAATTCAAATGTTTTGGCTAGACTCATTCGTGTGGGCTCCGAAATGGTTCTTCATATCATTAGGAGCTGGTATGGGAAAGCGGTCATGGCGCTTCTTTTTTGCTTCATGATTTGTCTTTATTAAAGAGTACGTTTCAGAACAAGGAAACATATGTATTTGTGAACGACTCATTTAAATATGTCGTGGCCGGGGCACATCTGTGCAAACGGAACGCTTGCGTGTTATTATGCCAAGGGCGGGGTGTTATTCCAAGCTATTCACGTCATTCATTGTTGCATTAATTTAAAACAATTACCAAGCACTTAGGAGATCGCCGACAAATTTGCACGGGTAGAACAACGTTTCTCAATACCATGGCCTACTATGGCTCTCTGGTCGCGTGTCTGGAGCGGATCGTTCAACGACCTCGTTCCCGTTAGCGTTGCCTTCGGCATACTGAGGAAAAGAAATACCACTGTGAGAATTGATGGCTGCGACGGCATCAGCGATTTGTCAGCCTGGCTTGAGGTAATCACCATTACGTGACTGGGGAGGGGCCGTGTCCGGCGTTACAGTTATCGTTAATGTGCATGAGATATGCCTAAAAGCTAAGATACCGCTGTTGGTAAGCTGTATGAAATGTGTTTCATAACTTTCAGGTGTGCTATTGACTCGTTGGTGCTATATTCTTGTCACTGAACCGAAAAATAATCCATCGAAATCGATCCATTCCCCTCACACAGCGTTCTTTGTAACGCCAAGTTTTCTGCACACCTAGCGGCTGGCAGGGGGAGGGGGGGGGGGGGGCGGCGGCGAGGAGGGAATCACATTTCAGGACGGGGAGTTGATTCAGGGGCCTCGTGGACGTGACGCTCAACGCTCGCCCTGAATCGACTTTTTCATATTACCAACATATATGTGGTGTGGGTTTGATATGACCTCCTGCTGTTTTTAAATCAAGAAAGATAAAGCTCTGCGAAAAAAACCCATGGATTTGTCTCCACGGGAACTTACGATTGGTAATAATTTGCATGTTCTTAGGTGAAAACTTGTTCCCGCTCATGCGTGCCAGAGCTTTTCCTGAAAACCGAGCTATTTCAGACTTGCATGCCAGTATTAACAAAGCCATGGCGCGCAGCAACAGTAAAGTTAAACAGACGTGTTCCCTTTCTAATCTGAACGCGCCGTGGGGTAGTTTTGTATGGCTTGATCGTCTATTCGTGATGCAGAGCTTCATGAATGTAGCAGCGTCGGCCCGTCGCACGCAAATGGCGGATTCATCGGTTCTTAAAAAACCTGATTGACTGAAACTGGGACAGCTAGAGGCATATGTTTGGTGTCAAAACGCGCCCAGTTAATGGCTCAGAGGCTGCTGACATCTTGGGGGCACGATTGCACGATATGCTGGAGAACGATATTCAAGAAACCTTTTGTGGGTCGCCACTTCCCCTTCATCCATGAGGAAGGAAAATAAATCGCTGAAAGAAGCCATACTTTTTTACTAGTTAATGGTTAAGGCATTGTATGACCTATGTGTTCTGCATGTCTTCGTGTAAATTAATGCTGCCACATATGCATGCAGTGCCGGCATATTTGTCAGCTGCGTGACCTATAGCAGTCGATGCGCCCCCCCCCCCCCCCCAGCACATTTGACGGGTGAGGGAAGCCATTTGTCGGGCATGAGAATGAAGCCTTAACACGCACTCGGGTGGGCGGGGGGGGGGGGGGTCAAATTAACCCCTCGCCCCCCGAAGGTTTTTCCAGAATGATTTGCGAACTGCGCAGCGACGCCGCGCCAAATTTTGCATAGCTGTAGAAACTGAATAACGGATCGTTTGACATAAAAAATTTAGATGCATCTTGAAAGGTTGCTGATCTATGGCAGGTCAAGGTCCGGCCATGGTTTCAGCGAAGGCAGTTTCTAGGGAATCGTCCAATCTGACACAATAACGGAGTGTTTGTTGAAGCCATACATCTCTGAAATGCTTTCTTAGGAGCCACAAATATTGAATGAGCAAATTACGTTGATCAAGGTCAGGTATGAAGGTCAGACCAAGGTCACAACCAACCTGATTTATTACTCTAGGGCTTGCTGTATGGGATAGTTTGTGATGCTCATTTCGAATTTATTGACAGTAGGTACCGCATTATGCATCTTCCATTGACTTCTAAGAGGTCAGAAAAGGCCCAAGATGACCCCGGGTGGATAATTTGTTCTAGGAGCATACTGCCTAACGTTATGTTTGTCGCTTATTCAAATGCAAAACTCAGAGCAGTCTTGTATTATTTTAGTCACCACGGCCTTCAAAAGGTCAAACAAGATCACTGATCTCAAAGGAGCTTTTGACCTTTTGCTTAGAAACAGTTGCCTAGGTTCTGGGGGCACTTTGGAGACCAATCTGGAATTTGACTTTGTTTGACCTTATTTGACCTGAAGATCATCACCTAGGAAGCCCAAGCTTTTACCTAAGTGAGTCCACGTACAGGTCAAGAGACCCTGTAAATTTGGTATCTCTAGCTTTCTTAATTCCCGAGATCTCAGGGGAGTCAATTTGCTCCCCCCCCCGCACCCGAACGAAGGGTATCTGGCCGGCCAGCCGGGCGCATGTTAAGATTTCACACACAAACTACGGAGGAATGTCGCATGCGTTCTACCCTCTTGGGGTGCCACAAAGCACGGGCTTCAGATATGGATTTTCTACGAAAAATAACAAGTGATTATTATGCTGGGCTTGTCTGCGCGGTTTGGGAGTGCCTTTTCAAATCGGACGCAGCATGATTTCGCTCCTCCTGATATAAATGACGATGCTGCCGCCGCTTGTGTTGTCGCCTCGCTCGCCGCACGCTGCGCAAGGTGCATCATTAGTGTAAGTGTATAAATCTGAGCTGTCAAAAGAAAATACTCTTCTCTCAAAACAAATTTCGGCTTGTCTCTCGTGGAAAGTCCCAAACTGGTCCTGTCCACGTCCTTGGAATCGATGCACTGGTTCGGTCGGTGGATGTACGACGTGTACTGCAGGCGATTGAAGACGAGATGACCCGCGTCTCCTCGCTGCCACGCTGATCCCGCTTCTCAGCCCGGCCGCTCCGGGAGCCGCAGCCACCGTCGGGTGGGCCAGAACTGGCCGACCGATCACTGCCATGTATATGCATCATCCCTCCACCCCAGCCGCCCAGCCTACAACGCCCGAGCCACAGGGCGGGCGTGACCTGACCGAGTGTGACTGGTCTGCCACAGCGGTGCAGTACCGGCGGCTGCGGCCGCTGCCGGCCTGTGAGCGGGACGACGAGGCCGTCACCCCGCCCTGGTGGCGCCTCCTGGCGGACCGACGCATCAACATCGTGGCCGGCGCCGTCGGTCTCTCCACCTCCGTCATGGCTATCCTGGAGCCCACGCTTCCCGTTTGGCTCATTAACACCATACACCCACAGGTACGGCACGCTACAACCGCAGGTACAGCCAGAGGTGGCACTCTCTAAAATTGGGGGAGGGGGGAGGGGCGGCATTCGACCGGACAATCAACCGCCTGCAGCAGGTGCAGGTGTTGTGCACCTTGAACTTCCAATGGGCCCACCTGGAGCACCTTTTGTTGTGACAGTTTGACGTGTATAGGATCACTGATGAATTCCGCTGTCGCTGGCTGTGGTGTACCAATCAGCCGGAATTCAAATACCACCACAGTCACGATCATGCGATAAATAAACCCGCCACTGTTGAGAGAAACACGGTTTAACTTTTAAGTGGGTAGCCCTGTAATTTTTAAAGCTGTCACACATTGCGGCCAATTGTTCTTTATACCGATTCAGATATTGTCATGTGCAAAACTCGCCAAACATTTGCAGGCCGGCCCACAATCTGACGGAGTTGCATGAAAAAAATAGGAGGCTACAAAATACTCTTTGGAACAAACTTGACGTGATACTGATAATGATGCGTCTGGATACTTAGTGTACTAAAAGTTAATACAACTTCCGAGCATTTCTGTGGCCAATTATTCTCTTTTTGCTGATAAGCATGGAGGGGCTCAGAGGGGTGTTAGAGGCTCAAATTAGCGCTGGGGAGGCTCAATTTTCCCCCAAAGCATAGAAGTACAGCACTTTCACCCCTGAGTACAGCGCGTACAGCCCTGGATCCCGTACCTACGCATGCAGGTGTTGCACACTACACCCACAGGTACGGCACACTACACCCACAGGTACGGTATCCTTCACCCACAGGTGCGGCACACGGCAATGACAGGTGCGGCACAAAGGCACCCACAGGTGTGACTAGCTTTACACGTAAATAGGGCAGACAACGGCCACAGACGACACACGGTACAGCCTCAGGTTAGACACCACGTGCCCGCAGGTGGGACACCCCACGCCGATGGACACGGACCGTCATACCCCAGGTGTGATAAGGAACGGACCGTCAGACCCCAGGTGTGATGAGGAACGGACCGTCAGACCCCAGGTGTGATGAGGAACGGACCGTCATACCCCAGGTGTGATGAGGAACGGACCGTCAGACCCCAGGTGTGATGAGGAACGGACCGTCAGACCCCAGGTGTGATAAGGAACGGACCGTCAGACCCCAGGTGTGATAAGGAACGGACCGTCTGACCCCAGGTGTGATGAGGAACGCCCGCAGGCGTGACACGACACACCTACCGGTATGGATGTTTGGCTGTGAGTGTGGCACACTACACTACACTACTACACTTCACTACGCACGCTTCACACATTAATTTACACTTCACGCTACACACAGTACACATACTCATTGTGAGTATCAACTACTACATCCAGAAGTATGGTGCACTTTTACGACCAGCATGGCACACTGCATACCCAGGCCAGCCACGCTACACCCATCATGGAACGCTCCACACCCGCGTGCACGACACGCTACACCCGAAGGCTCGATTCGTTTTACTCCTAGGTACAACTCGGTCCTCCCACACGTTAAACAAGATACACCTGCAAATGGCCTGTCATGAACCGGGCTCAGGGGCTCAACATCGTTCAGTCGGAAATGCAGTACTTTGCATTCGTAACTTCAACTTCAGCGAGTAAGCGACCATCCGAATAAGATATTGAGCGTCTTGTAGGAGCTCTTTGGAGCAGGCGTTGTTTGTTTACTTAACGTACATTTGCAAGCGTCGGTGAGCTGGCGCTGACCTATTGCATCAAACGAACCAAACATCCCCGGCAACTAGTGAACTTCAACTAGTGAGCAACTTGAACTAACGAACCCGTTAACACACGATCTGACGGACATCACATAGTGGTCGCTCTCGAGAAACGCGGTGGCCTGTATTTGTCGAAGCACTAGGAAACCTTTCGCTACGCCCGCGGCACCCATATGCATCCACCACGACGGGTCTGCACCGGCCACCACACCCTGTGGCCGGCCTGCGTCTCACGCAGCCAGCAGCTCTATGACCGCCGCGCCCCTGAGACCCGCCCGCGTCGCACGCAGCCAGCAGCAGCGGCCGAGTGATGCGCCGCCCGCCCCGTCCCGTCCCGTCCCGGCGCCGGGTCGGCGCAAACAGCGCCATGAATCGACAGGGTGTCGACCGGCGGCGTGCGTTACGACGCACCCCGTCCAGCGCGTCTCAGACGGCGGGCCGCACCGGGCCAGGCGGCGCCGACACGGTCCGGAACGGCACGAGTGAACGCGCCGCCGGCCGCCGGGAAAGCGGTGCCGAGCGCGTATCTCTGGTTGACTTCTGCGACGGCGCGGTGGTCCTGCGGCTAATCTGTGGTCATGATCCGTTGTTGGGTTCAGGGTCGGTACCGGATAAACTTGTTGTCATCAGAACGTCTGATCTCATTGGCAGTGGTAATACGGCTAGGCCTACCCGCCAAGTTCTCTGACTATCGCTGACCGCGGTGATTTCTCCCCCTTCGCCAACTGGCGAGGCTGGGGGGGGGGGGGGGGGGGGGGCTGGCACGATAACCGGCGTGGGCTGGTGCTGGCGGGAAAGTGGTTGCCACATGAACTGAACCGAAAGTATCTGCTGTAGAAGCAAAAGAAGTGGTTCAACCTATATTGAGTGTTAAGGCGCCAGCAAGATGCTGTAAATTCAACTCTATGTTCTGATTTCTGTTGCCGAAATACAATAGCGATGCAGAACATTACGCTGAATCTATCAGCCGGTGGTATGATCCGGTTTGCAGTATGAGGTAAGGACACATGTGATGTGCGTTAATTGAAGTTTTGTCGTTTGCTTTGGAAAGAAATCGTGATTCGATCCATCCTTGGGAGAACAGGACCTAAAAAGGTGAGTGAACATTCTGTTAGAATGGAATCGGAAGTAACGAAACCAGTACGGGTGCTAGCCTTTTAATACTTCGCTCTGAGTACTATGGTATGGATGACCTACCAGCTGGTGTCAAACAAAGCCAGATAACGCCTGTTCATCTAAACGACGCATCATACTTCGACAGAGTAAAGACAGCTGGCATAGCGTAAGGACGATGGTCATCCCATGATTCAATATAGCGTAAGGCCGTCTCTCATCTCATGATTCACTACAGTGTAAGGTCGTCTGTCATCCCATAATTCATTACGCCTTTTGCCCCGTTTCCGACTCCGAGCTTGCAAAAGCCACCTCTCGCACTAAAAATGTGACGGTGATCTAACCGTCAAAACGTTTCCGTAAACAAATTTGCGGGACCCAACGGAGAAGACCACCGTCAAATCATTTGCGTCGAGGACCACCAAAAGGTCCACCACTTCTTACGCACTATTTCAGTCACAGAGTAAAAACGACGATTCATCAGGCATCAGTATCATCCACACTCGGCTGCTGAGTTATTTCAACACACATCCCACATTACGCATGGCTTATCGCATTATCACTCGCGATAAGTCACTGCCTACCGGCGTCTGGGAAAAGACGCAGCAGAGACAGACGGGGCAGAGGCTCCTCAATCGAGAAGTTAATGGTCCCTTGGCCGAATAGCCACTCCAACCCCCTCCAAACTAGCACCAAAATTTGCATGTATAGATACCTCTCCCGACGAATTGAAATGCAACAATGATGCAACAGCTATGCAACAATGGATGAGCCCTTACGAGATACACAGACGTAGTTCCTCGGATCATTTAAGGAGCTCTTGCTGTCGTGAAATATGGCCCCTGTATAGAACAGAATGGACTAAATCTGGTAATAGCAGAAGCCTCGGGGAGCGGAATGGATCCGCTGGCTCCCTCGGGGTACGCAGACCGTCTGAAAAACCTCCGTCTCCCTCAGCGACATTCTGGCTGCGTGTTTTGCGAGTAGGTAATGCACTTGTTGTCTGGGTCACCACGAGGCCGCTTGTATGTGTGTCATGTCATTGGGGCTTTACGACGCACTCAGCTACTGAGGCTATATGGCGTCGCCTGCCTCTCATCCTGGCAGGAAGGGCGGGCACCGCGGGCATGAGGCCGCTTGACTCGCTCTGTGTCGCCACACCCGTACCGCGTGTGCAACAGCCGGATGTGGCCGTGTTGACGTGTGCGGCCCTGCGCGCCGGCAGAAGTGGCAGCTGGGCTCCGTCTTCATCCCGGACAGTCTGGGCTACCTGATCGGCACGCACGTGTTCGGCCTCGTCGCGCTGCGGCTCGGCCGCTGGCGGGTGGCCGCCGCCGCCATGATGACGGTCGGAGCGGCGGCCCTGCTGGTGAGGCCCGCCGACAGGGCGCAGGACGGATGAGGCCCGCCGACAGGGCGCAGGACGGATGAGGCCCGCCCGACGGGACGCAGGACGGATGAGGCCTGCCGACAGGGCGCAGGACGGATGAGGCCCGCCGACAGGACGCAGGACGGATGAGGCCCGCCGACGGGACGCAGGACGGATGAGGCCCGCCCGACGGGGCGCAGGACGGATGAGGCCCGCCCGACGGGACGCAGGACGGATGAGGACCGCCGACAGGGCGCAGGGCGGATGAGGCCCGCCGACGAGACGCAGGACGGATGAGGCCCACCGACAGGGTGCAGGACGGACCCGCCGACGGGACACAGGACGGATGAGGCCCGCCGACGGGACGCAGGACGGATGAGGCCCGCCGACGGGACGCAGGACGGATGCTCGGCTAGATACGGCTCCGGCAGGCGGAGCCAAGTTGGCAGCATAGAGTGTTATTTACCTTCGGCGTCTATATAGTGTCTTCTTTTGTTGGTTGATTTCGGGACATTCCGCAAGTCTTCTCGTAAATGGGGTGTTTCGGAAATTAAACATACAGCTGAACCAAAATTTAACACGTTCTCGTCTCAGAGCTGCTCAAAATTTGGTACGTAAAGTCATCTCGGTGTACTGATCGTTTTTGGAGTTGGAGCCCGGTCTCGTCACGGGGTCAAGTTGTGGATGTTATGGACTTTTCGGGGTATGTGGAATGTGGCCCACCACAAAACTTGTTAAAAAATAATACCGAATTAAAAGATTATCAACACATGTTTCCCAAACCACAAGGAGCAGAAAAATCTTAAGAGCACTGGGAGCTTACTTGGATCCATGCTTCTTGAGTTTTGTTCATGGAGACCCTATCTCTGGACAGGGTCATCATTGTAGCCCTCCTAGGCTCATAGTAGCTCACCGTTATATGGCTTGGGGTAGCGTCTTGAAAGCTCCTGACCATTCCCAACATTTTATTGCGCATGCTTTTGTTTACTCTGTACTTGACACCATTCGCCAGGCTATGGCAGACGTTGCAGATGGTGTGCAACCCCTCACTTGTTCACCGCAACAGCCGAGGTCCGAGCGCTCAGTAAAAGCCAGTACGCATTTCGCGTTCAGCTGGGCATCATAGCCCACTTAACAACACAAATCAACCTTCAGAGCCTACCCTGCTAGCTCTTCCCCACACCGACACACATTGTGTACATGTACTGGCACCGACGGCTAAATTCGACTATATAGGGTTGTTTCTGGGACGTTTTTCAGGCTTTTTGCTCGTCTCGCAATGTTAAGGCATTTAATTTGTGTCGTAAGTTCGATAAACTTGTAAAATTAGCATGCATTTCACCAAGTTAACGGCGGAATCAGTTTATATTTCCTCAGCAGTCAACACACACACACACACACACACACACACACACACACACACACACACACACACACACATACACACACACACACACACACACACACACACACACACACACACACACACACACACACACACACACACACACACACACACACACACACACACACACACACACACACACACACACACACACACACACACACACATATATATATATATATATATATATATATATATATATATATAGGTAGATAGATAGATATGGATATGGGTTTATATTAAGTCAACACGCATATCTGCAGGTGTATAATACAGGCTTGCACAATTCGGTATTGACATTTGAGATATGAAAACCTTTGTAGAAAACAACACGTGCATATGCTTTAGATCAATGCCCATGGATTTAAGGACATGAGTTATGATTATCGACATAAACAAGACCTAACATTCATGACTGAATGTGTCAGTATATATCTGTTGTCCTGAATAACGTAGTTTCTAGAAGTGGTCGGGCCCTCAAAAGTTGTCTTATTGTCAGTCATCCGTTCAAAACTAATGACGACGACGCCTCCTTGCATTTTCAGCCATGAACATCCCCGGCCGGCGGAAGTCAGCCAGTCTCGATTGCAGTGCCTTGACCATTTTCATCCTGTATCATCCCTCACCTGTCAGCCGATGGTCGGACTGTCGTGATCATTTTCCTCCGCTCGGATTGTTATGGTATAACTGCAGCGAATCAAGGGCCCCGTGTCAGTTGCCCGTCTCCGTCCAGAAGAGGTCTTGGCGCTGAATGCAGGGCGGTTGATAGCACGTTGCTGAATGCGGCAAGCGGGCCGTGAGCGTCGTGGCCAGCATACCGTGACACGGGAAAATACTTTGGATCACGCCCAGAGAGCACAACCGCATGCATTTGTTAGCACCGCGGTAGGGCCATCAGTTGGCGCAGGAACGTGCCTGTCAGCTGAGGGCCTCCTTTTTATTGGGTTGACCATCTAACCGCGTGTCACTCAATGCTGGCGCTGGCCGCAGCAGTGATTTGTAAAGATACGGCGGCCAATTAAGCATAGTTATTGTCACACGTGACGGATGCAGCCGTATATATATATATATATATATATATATATATATATATATATATATATATATATTACAATGCTGCGGGACACCATCGGACGTCAACATCACTGACGACGTCATGATGTCAGATATTGTTCTCAGAAGAATGCAAAGGCGTGAGTAAATTCCTCGGTCTTCTTCTATTCTGGTGGCATACCAGTTTGCTTTCTTGTATGTTTCAGTATTCTTTTCATACACCATTTGTCATGAACTGCATCCGCTAGCCCCGAAAAGATTGTGACGTCTTCAGCTTGATCCCGTCACCTGACTGGGACAAGTAATGTATCTAGATGACACAATGTACCAAGTTCAAAGTAAGTATGAGATATCCCTCTGTATGACTTTTCCTTCAACGCCTAAGTGCCAAATTCGTATACACGCATGCAGCACGCTGCATTCATGGTCCGAAGCTCGTATCACATCTTGCCTTCCCCACGCTTTAGTGTCGGGGAACTCCGGTGCCTACTTGGCATGCACCGTCCCTCGCCGTTCCACTCCGTCACGTATCGCTCTGTGCAGTCCACGCCAGCCAGTGTCGTTCATACATGACGTCCTGTCCGTGCCGGCCCGTGCCACCGCGAGCTGGCCCGTGCCATCACGTACTGCCCCACACCGTCCCGAACTATTCCCAGCCATAGCATGCGACTTCGCGCCGTCCCGTGCCGTCTCTTACGATCATGTACCATCCGCTGTCGTTATTCACCGTCCCATACCGTGCCGCACCGTGTGATCACGTGCCTTTCACGTGCCGTCCCTTTCTATAATGTACTGGCTCGGTTACGTGGCGTCCCGTGTCGTCCCCCGCCGCAGCTACCACAGTCGACGCGCATGGTACACCTCGTGCTGCCGCACTTCTGCATCGGCCTGGGCATCGGCATCGTGGACGCGTCGCTGATGCCGCTGCTGGCGCGGCTGGTGGAGCGGGGTGGCCTGCAGGCCAGCTACGGCACCGTCTACGCCCTCTCCCAGACGGCCGTCTGCCTGGCCTACTCTGTCGGTGCGTACTGAGTCGGATTCTCCTGCACGGTCGGTGAACGGCTTCATCTGAGCGTGCTCGCCGCGCCGTTAACGGATGATCGTTTACTATGCCGGCAGCTATGCCGGCAGATAAGAGTGAAGCTTCATAAACGTGGCATTAGCAGAAGGACGGGCAATTTGCCAGGCAACTTCCTGAAATATCCCCTTCTTCTGCTGGTTTGTGGCGATGTAAGAAACTTGCACTTTTTATGCTTTTGACTACTCTTTCACGCTAGCCTTATGAGAAAGGAGTCGTAATTTGTTGCCGAATCTGAGATGCATGGGGACAGGTCATAGACAGCGGCGAGAGCCTACGGCTGATCGTTATTGCTGTCAATATGTTATCCGTTAAACTGTACTCCGAAACCGTTTTTTGTGTATTTATCATGCACCAGGGGATATGCTCGCTCCATATGGGTCTTATAACTTCAAATAATAAGGAAACAGAAATGTGAAATGAGTAGACCTATTCATAGCACGGCCTATACACCACGCATCCTCATGCAGCTGTGCATGAGAGCGAACTAAAGTTGCCTTCGGAGGTTCACGGCTATTTTGACAGCCCTGATGACAAAAATCGTGGGTTTCGTCTCGTGCATCCTGTCCTTAGTGCATGTCGTATTCGGCACCAAACTGGGTCACTGGCTTGTAATGCTATCGTAAGAAAGGCCAAGCGCCACCAACTTCGCAGGACTATGACGGATGGAACCCAAACGTGGATGTTATAGTCAGCTCAGATCCAAGCATCTCTGCTTCGTGCATTTAATGGAACTCGGTGGTTTTCCGTGTCCATGCTTAAAGATGTCTTTCTTGAAGTCGGCAATCTTGCAGCTTGTGATTGTCAAGCTTATCTATTGCGCGGCCGAGGGCCTCGTCCTCCAGTACGTGAATAACACACAGTTTTGCTATGCATCGTGAAACAGCCAAGAAGGCAAGTGATGTGAAAATCGGGTGAAAGTGAAACAGTTAAATCAAGTCATGTGGTGACATGATGGTATTTCTCTGGAGCATTTTTCTGTGCCTCCCGTGACCAGAGGTGCCGTTTTTTGGGAGTTCTTATCCAAAGGCTAGTCCAAAGTCTCAGTATGGTTTAGCAGTCAGTCAAAAGGTGGCGAAAAGGTCAGATTGTCCAAGATGTCAAATTTCTTTAAATATAAAAAACTACTTTCTGCAGGCCCCGTCAACCCCGTCACTATTCACGTTGCTGCATTCGCCCACTCCAATAGAATGGCATGAAAGATCGCGGGTGGAATCTTGAAATTATCGTGAGGAAGAGGGGTGTACCACAGGCTTTGGTGGAGACATCTACAGTTAATACTTGCTACATGACCGCGCAGTCGAAATGCCCGAAATGCCCTCCCCCCTCCCACACATACAATTTACAATTCACATCAATGTCCGCTCAGCTTACCTTTTCACTACCTCAACGACGGAAGCTTAGTCGGATGGTGAGAGGTAACGAATCGTCCGACTCGTCCGATTTGTGGGTGGCAACGACAGGTATGAAAAATCGTCTGATTTACTGGACGTGATCGGTGACAAAAGCTGACACTTTGCGGACCAATCGGCGACAAAGTTGCAAAAATGTAAACAAATTTTAACAGATCAGACCATATTGCAACTTACTATCCCAGCTAGACGAAACTCAGGGCCTGCACCCGTCACCACTTGCAGCGTGAGCATGTGTAAGACACATGTCCAAACGTTGACGTTTCGCTGTATGATCAAGTAAAGCTATAAGATGCTGCCAAACATACTAGCTGCAATCAGGATAGTCTTTAGCAGGTGCTAGAAAAGTACTACAAGTTAGACTATATCAGTTCCGACAACACAGGTCAGTGGTGACACAGTACATTTCCAGTGCCTCTCAGAACACTACTTTTCACAAATTTTTCAGCTAAGATCCACTGCACATACTAAACAGTGCAAAATACTGAGTAACTAGGCTTATTACTAGTAAGAATCGTGGCTGGCCACCACATCTTGCGTGAACGTGATCAGTTGGCTGGCCAGCGTTTTAAAGCGTCGTGTCATTGGACTGTGGCTGCTGGTGGTTGTGTTCATATCATGAGAAACTGACTGGCTGGAATAACGTAGCTAATCGTTAGCTTTTTAATGTAAAAACCCTGCCGATCCAGCAGGATTGTTGTGGATACCTGAGCGTTAGATTAAGAGGTAAACGAGGGACGTTAGTGCGACACATGTCAAAGATCCATCCGGGCCTTTCTGCTAAGAGGAACAGCGGCTTTGAGGTAAGAAGCTGAACATCACTGGCGTAGGCCTCTCACGTTGCGCGTTACGCCTCCGACTTAGCGTGTTGATCGGTGTACAGGCGTGAAATAAAATGCCTTTTATTATCGCCATCTTGCATGTGAAGCTAAATGAAGGTGCTATATGTGTTCCGAAATGTCGTTTGCATTTGCTGATAACAATATTGCATGGGTTTTGCTCTTAATGATTGGAATCATGTTAAGAAGTGCGAGTTCTGCACCGGTAATCATGATGCGAAGATAGTGAAAATCGCCTACACTTCCAGGTGATTGTACGATGACGTTAAAACCAAAGGTGCTATTGTTGTCAGATGCTTGCAGAGCCATGTTATCGGCAAATATAGGGCTACAGGGAATCAGTTCTACAAAATACGTAGGGTGGAGGGATGGAGGGCGGGGAGGGGGCAGAAAAAAGGAATGGCTGAGCCTACCAGCGAAATTCACTTAAAATGGTGCTCTCCTCAGGTTTGACGCACTTTCTTTTCACGATTGAGAGCGGGGTGTCGTTTCTCGAAGTTGGTTTGAGAAAGCTGAACCCTAAGAGCTGTGATTAATGAAAACTAACGCTTAAAAAAAATGGTGAATAAAATTTGGAAACGACATCCATGGTTATGAGGCACAATCTCCTCCCCTAACTGAATAGGAAACTACATGCCTCCAGGTTGGTTACGTTAAGCATGCTTTTATCTGATTATTGTATTAGGCTAGTCTCAGCCATCACTCGGTGCTTGATGGCAAGCAAATGATATTTAAGCAAGAACGAACTCCCTAAACCAAAATATTTGATGGTTATTCTGCATTGCATTCAATTTGTCTTTGTTTGGTACTTTATCGCATTTAGAGTTATATTGTAACGGTTTCTGAAAGATTTGGCTCCAGGTGACAATTTAGACGGGTCCAAATTTCTTCGGTGGCAGAAAAGGCAGCTTGCTTACCCCTGAGTACCGAATGGAATCTAACAATTTTAGGAATTTGTGGCAGCATACGTGATGAGGGTTTTATCTCATGTTTCAAAGACTGCTATTGTCTTGTGTGCTCTGTCAACGCATTGCTTATGTTACGGAAAAAATAAGGATATAATAGGATATATAATAAATGAAAATGAGCAGCGTTAAATAAGTTGAGATGTGACAGTTTATGGCACGACAGAATGATATTGACTTATCAAACGTTCGAAAGATATCTGCTTTTGTCTGTCCAGCATCCACATTAACGTTACTAAATTTCTGTACATCCAAAAGCAATGGAATCCAATCGGCATCTTTATTCGTGAGGTCGGATTTACTGTCAGTGTTACTGTTGTATCCATGTGTTTGAGCGGAAACACAGCAGTAGACGACGTGCGACAGCCGCATGACCTCTAAATTGTTCATCCAATCAGGATCATTTTCGAGAAAAGGCATCGACCCCGACGTCACGATGCGGAAGCCGATGGTTATTTCTGGACCCTGCTTGCCTCGCGACGCCACCGCTACTTGCGTCACACGCGTGTTCGATCTGCTCATCGGGCATGGTCACGTCTGGTGCCAGTTGCCACGTCATGAGCTCTCCCCAACGTAGTGCACAGCATACCCCTATCACACGTGCGGTGGAGCACTTCAGTCTATGGTAGCTGTTCTGGCACAAACGAAAATTTGACCGCGTAGCAGCAGGCGTCCTCCTATTATTAGGCTGGTTCACAGTGCTAACAGTTGGCTGTCACTGTCGCACGGTCACTCGGGACATTCGTAAGAAGAGTCACCGTTGTCTCAGGCCTCGCTCTCAGCAGAAATGTGTGACATTCGCCTGCGGGCGCACGCGTTAGACGGGACTCCAGCGTCTGCTTTGCATCAATACCGAGGCTGTAGCAAGCGGCAGCCACCAACCGGGCACCTTAACTGGACGCGCACTACCCCAGCCTTTATCAGGCAGAAATGAGACCGCTTTGAAACTAAAAAAGTCTAACTACAGAATGTAATAGGTGACTTTGAGTTTTGTCTTGGCTGTTTCGAGTAGCGATGTCTGACATGTCCATTGTAAATAAATGACATTGCACATACGTGATGCAGTGGATCGCGAGGAGCCATTTTGTTTTGCGTGCCTGCCAGACACAACTTTTTGTTTTCTCTCTCCATATCTTATATTGTCTAAGCCCAATGGCATGCACAGTAAGCGGCAAACAATGAATCTCGTGATTTTTCTCGTGATTCGCGTGATTTTTTTGCAGCCCCTTACCAAACCGTGAGAGCAAGCGTTCTGAAACGTGATGCTTTTTCCTATAGATCCATTCGCAAAACACCCCCACGGTTTCACCTTCCGCTCTTGTCCAAGGGTGACTCAATGACTGGTTTTCGGGAAGCATGTCAGGATTAATAACAGACTGTTGAAGACGAGGGTTGAGTTCATGGCTTGTATTACGCCCGGCCGAAGTGTGACAGAAATGAGTTATTACACTGGCACATCAAAGCTGATTGCATTTGGCTGCTGTGTGATGTATGGGAACACCAGAGGCGGATCCAGGAACAATAAGTTAGGGAGGTTGGGTGGTTCAGCTATTCACACCCACGGTGCCAAATTTTCATGAAGTCATCGAAATATTTCTATATAGGTTATTAAACACTTCCAGTTACGAAGATTGTGGAGGTAGCCGTATATAAATGGGAACTTTGTGTGCAGAGGCGGCGCTAGGGTAATGATACTCAGGAAGATACGACGATCGAAGTCTATTGAA